ACTTGTAAATACTTTGGATTATATGATATTGAGTGAGCCTTTTGAGCCTCAAAATCCATCCTTAGTCACTAGCTAGTTTCGGCTAGCCTCCTCCTATCTCCACCCTTGGAGAATAGGAACCCTAGAGTGGCCTCCACCTATCATTGGAGTGAGCCAACCTTGTGAGCAACCATACACCACCATTCCATAAAGCTTCCGCCCAACACTTCCTTTTTCACGCAAACCTCCCCCTTCTCCACCCTAAAATCTTCCTTGTGTCTTCCCTTTGGTGAACAAGATCAAGGGCAAGGACTTCCTCTCCTTACAATACGTTATTCATGGAAGGAGGAAGCCATCACTACTCTCACTCCTCTATTATCTAATTTTCATCACATTACAATCATCATTAGAAAAGTACCATTTTTTTCTTCATCTTTTTTCTTAATTTTGATTACACACAATTTTGGATTTTATAATTCATATTACGTCTCAATTTTTCTTTATTTTTATTTTCTATTATATTTCACCTCCATTAAAGTTGTCAAAACAAACAACATGTCCTGTTAGACCCCACCTCAATCTACTATTTAAGTGAGTTGGTCCAGCCCAACCCACCAACCTTCATGTTAAAAAAATTTTAACCTGGTTCAACCCATCACGGGTTGGTAGACTAAATGAGTCAATCCACCAACCCATCTAATTTTTTTTAAAAAAATTCTAATTTAAAATAAACTTCAATCTAATTAGCTTCTAATCTAAGATAAAAATTGTGAAATTGATTACCATGCATATAACATTAAACTTAATTAAAAAAATATACAACTTTAAATAATTAAAATAATAAAAAATTCCTTTAATTAGAATGATTGTCTATTTGGCATTTCATTTGGAGTGCATTTGCCTTGTGATTTTCGGCCATGCACACTCCAAATGCAACCCTAGATGCCTCCCCTCCTATAAATACCCCACACCCCACCACTTGTAAATACTTTGGATTATATGATATTGAGTGAGCCTTTTGAGCCTCAAAATCCATCCTTAGTCACTAGCTAGTTTCGGCTAGCCTCCTCCTATCTCCACCCTTGGAGAATAGGAACCCTAGAGTGGCCTCCACCTATCATTGGAGTGAGCCAACCTTGTGAGCAACCATACACCACCATTCCATAAAGCTTCCGCCCAACACTTCCTTTTTCACGCAAACCTCCCCCTTCTCCACCCTAAAATCTTCCTTGTGTCTTCCCTTTGGTGAACAAGATCAAGGGCAAGGACTTCCTCTCCTTACAATACGTTATTCATGGAAGGAGGAAGCCATCACTACTCTCACTCCTCTATTATCTAATTTTCATCACATTACAATCATCATTAGAAAAATTAAATGCACGCTTTGAATGATACATAATGATTCATTAGACATTTAAAAGAAATCATTCATATGGGACAAAGGGTTGCTTGGTCTGTTAACGTGGAGTAATGGGGCTGGCATCTGTTAAGTTGCTCTCATAAAATTGAGACACAGACGTTCCAACATATTGATTCTACCGTGCTAATGTTGGACACTTTGTGCTGAAAGTTTATCTCTTTTGTTGATTAATAAATACAATTTTTCTTATAATAAAAAAAAAATATAGACGTAGATGGATGATTTTCCTTTATTCTATAGATGTAAACTCGACTAATATGATTGTAGAGTAATAAAGAAAGTTAGTTGAAGAGTGTGAAGTGAATGTTACCTTCACCAAAACATTCAATTTCCAAATCCGAAGTGTGGTTGCTGTAACCATTATCCTTGAACCGGCATGATTTCCCTTTGGATTCACAGTGTTTACAACTTGGCTCAAAGCCAGGGTAACCGCAGTGTGGTGGTTGGAGGCCTTTGATACGGAAAGGGAAACGTGCAAGTGGCCCATCATCTCTACACCGTGCATCCTCGCACCCATTTTTCTCTCATCAAATTCTTCTTCATGTGTAAGTGTCCACGAGAGTCTCATCTCTCATGTTGAATGTATTAAATTTTCACCCTCAAAATTTTATATTTTTTTATTATTTAAATCACCTCTTATTTCTTCTTCGTATTTCATTGGATATGACATGACATCTTCAAGAGGTACTCTCAAGTATCAATTATTCGATTATTGTCCATCTATTTATTTTTATTTATAATATAAAAATTGAGTCATTCTTTATTATATGGATTTTTTTATTTGTCATAGCTTTTCAGTTGAAGCAAAAATCGTGACGATCATACCTTTGTCACCTACATGGAATGATCACTCCTCCATTATCTCTACCTTCTCCCACCTTAACGACCGCTCATGCATTGTCGTATATTATGACATGTCTAAATACTAATTTTCAGGTGATCTTTCTTTCTCATTATATTCTTAATGTCTAAATACTAATTTTTAGGTGGTCTTTTTTTCTCACTATATTCTTAATTTGATTCCACTAACATAATTTGAGATTTGATAGTCCGTTTTGCAAACTAACAAAATAATGTTCTTTTTATTGTGAAATCAATTTTTTTATGATTTGTTACAATTGATATATGAATATCTATTTTCTACAAAGTCAAATGTGATTGAAAATCAATAAATACTTGTAGTTCCTGCGAGACTTATTTTTCTGTCTCTTTAGTCAAAACATTTATGTTTCAAAATCTTTACTTTTCTTTTGTTCTCCAATCACATCACTCTTTTTTTTTATTCTTTTTTCATAAAAGAGTTAAGGCATACCAACCCATCTTTACATGAGAATTTGATAGAGGTTTTATAGTTGTGATTTTTGATGGTACAAACATATAAGTATATTTCAGAAATTGAAAAAGTTGATATATAAATACGAGGTAGTTCTTTTTCTCATTATATTCTTAAATTGTTTCCTTTAAGATATTTTGACAAATAAAAAAATATTCTTATATTGTGAAATTATTTTTTTGATGTTTTCTTTTGATTATCATGAGCCTTTTTTTCACAATTTTTCATAGTGCATGTTTTGTGAAATTTCAAAAATTAGGAGTAATTAAAGTGATTCTTACTATTTTATTTTCATTGTTCTAAAGGAAAATCAATTGTGATTGAATGTCAATGAATTCTTAAAATTCCTATCAAACTTATTTTTTATATTCTTGGTCAAAATATTTAAGTTTCATAATTTTATTTATTTAAGTATATATATATATATATATTATATTTTTATTATCTTCTTTTCTCACTCTTTTATTAAAATTATTTTTCCTCCTTAAGATTTAAAATATTTAATTTTTTAGTTATTTAAAAGTTGAATTTTTACAAAAATAAATTTTCATAAATATTCAGTATTAAATAATTGATCATTGAAAATTATATTTAAATGTTTCATTGAGTAATTAAGAGATTGAATTTAATTAAAATGTAGTTATAGAAAATAATTAATAATATGTAATTAATACTAATTATAAATGAAATAAATATCTATTTATATTTATAAATTATAAATTACAAAACAAAAATATTATCACACCATTATGATATTTATTAGTATATTATAATATTTATTTAATTTTTTTATGATAAAAGAGTTAATTGTAACCTTCTATTTTAAATCTTAAAAAAATTAAAAGATTTCATCATAGTTAAAGTCGTTTATTAGATAATTAAGTTAAAAAACAAGTTTGATTTTTAAAAAAAAATTATTAAAAGTAAGTTTAATTGCTAATAATATTTTTTATAATAATTTTTAATTTATTCTCTAATTTTTTAGTTTTACTTTAAATATTAATTTAGAAAGTATTATCAAATTTCACATACAAAGTATGTAATAGAATTTGAATTAAATAGTTTTAATGATGCACTATTTATTTAATTTTTTATGACAATAAAGTCAATTGTAACCTTCCATTTTAAATTTTAAAAAAATTAAAAGATTTCATTATAGCTAAAGTCATTTATTAGATTTAAGTTTGTGAAATGAGTTTCATTTTAAGAAAATAATTAAAAGTAAGTTTGATTGCTAATAATATTTTTTATTATAATTTTTTGTTCTCTTTTTTTTTTAATTTTATTTTACATGTTAATTTAGAAAAAATCATCAAATTTTACATACAAAATATATAACAGAGTTTGAATTAAATAGTTTTAATAAATGTGTCGAAGAATACTATATTATAAGAATTATGTAATTTTTATTTTTTTAAGTGAATTATTCACAAATTAATATGAAAAGAGAATTACACAATTGCAAGGTGAGAATTAATATGTATTTTTTATCTACTAAATTTCATGATATTTTTTAACATCATTTATTATTTTTATATCTTTAATTTTAATCACCCTTTAATTTATTTTATAATTGAATTACCTTTTTTGAGCTCAAAAAGTTAAAATTATAATAAAATTCAATGTCTTACCAATTTTTTTTCTAATTTGTCACAAATATATGTAGGTATCTTACATATAATTATTATATATTTATTATTTAATTTTTAAAATATAATAATTTAATATAATTTTAATCTCTTTAAAATATAATATATAGATTTCTTTAGCCGTGAAACCCACGGGTCTAAAATTTAATATATTTTTTATTGAGTAATTCACATAAAAACTAACTATGATTAAAAAGATTGTGAAAGTTAATCCACATTTAGGCAAGGTTAGGGGTTTGAATCTTGTCTTGTTTATACAGCCACGTTAAATCTTGAGATCAATTATCCCATTTTTTGAGGTGCCTCCAACGTAGCAAGGAGATTAGTCACTATTATCGATGGTAGATACTTCAAGAACGAACTAAAAAAAATTGTCAAAATCACTTAATAAATTATATTTAATAAGTGTAGGGTCTCTTTGAAATTCGAACTTAAATTCCTGCCGACATAATTGTCATCGTGGAAAGAAAGATTCGTTTTACACTCTTCGGGCCCCACCCCAATGTTCTTTCTTTCAAGTTTACTGGGTACCAATGTCAATATATTTTTTAAGGGTGTAATTGTAATTTTATACTTTTTAAAATTAAAAAAAAAATTAATATTTTATTGGTTATGTAGCTCAATTTTGATTCTGTATGGGTGAAGCGCGTGATATAGATGTTGACACTAGAAGTGATATATATGTTGAGTTTGGTAAGCGAATAGGTGAGTAAAAATGCAAACATACTTGTCTTCGTCTTCGGAACTTAAAGTAGTATTGCTGATTCTTATATTCCTTGAAAGCTCTCATGCAGTCTGTGTTTCTTCTTGTGGCAGCATCCATAGTATACGCTACCCTTTCCGGCTAAATGATGATCCCAAAAACTGTGGTCACCCCCGCTACAATTTACACTGCCAGAACAACCTCACACTGTTGTACCTAAATTCAATCAAATACTACGTCAAGCCAATCGATTACGCCAACAACACAATCCGAGTGGTGGACTCAAATATTCAGGAGAATAGTTACTCCTTTGTTCCTCGTTATTCTGTCGGTCCATATAACAATACCTGGTTTAATTATCTTAATTATCCCTATCAGTAGTCGTCCTATTTATCAAACGATTCATATTGGTTGCCAACCATAATGTCCAAAACTAAGGAGTTGTCAAAGGTTGTAACATATTTGAGTACCGAAAGCTCAATAAATTCGTCTGGATACGTGGAAATTGGTGGGTGCATGAAGGATTATTCGTGGTCATTGGAAAATAAGAAAAGGAGGCTTTATATAAGCATTGGAAGGAATTATTTAAGGGATTTGAGGGTGGTTGAGTATCGTATAGAGATGATTTACATGATGTCATGGCCAGGTGCCTTTAAAGATCAGCTAAGCACTTCCTGCTCGGATATTCGAAACGGCCATTGGAATATGGGACTGATGAGCTTTCGTGGCGAGAAGGAGTCTGCGGCGGTTTCCCTCCATTGGTTCAATCGGACCATGTTTGTACGCCTGCCTTGCGTTACGCAGAAAATTCCTTTGGTAACAACATTTCTCACCTTTAATTACCTCCATATTTTGCCTTCAATCACTCTTTTGCTTAAACCTTAATATTCATTTAACAATTACTTCTATATATTATTTTTTAGAGATTTTGAGAAAAGATGGTTGGAGAAAAAAATGTTAAAATTTAAAAGTAGATAACATACTAGGTAGTTTTATTATTATTATTATTATTATTATGAAAAGTGAGTAGTTTTAAAAATTATAAAGTTTGTAATATAAATTTAGGAATAAAAGTGTGTAATAAAAAAATAAAGTTAAAGAAGTGTTAGTATTTCCTCTATAATAAATTAGTAGGGAAAAAAGGTACTTCCTGCCTCTTAAATTTTTTAAAATAAAAATTAAATAAGCAAGAGATAATGGAATAGATGGTTGTGGGTGGTTATCGAGAGAGAAGATAAGAAGTTATTACTTTCTTAACATTAAAGGAATATGTAATGGTTCACTAAAAAGTGAAAATCAAAAACAATTACACATATTAGTATTCCTTTTATAATAGGTACAGATTAGTATGAAAAAAACACTTCATGCTTACACTATATTAAAAAATACATATATTTTTTTTATGTACAGTTACTTATGAGTAGTTTCATAATACAATGAATAAAAAAAATAGAGAGATATTGATGTATGAAACAATAGTTATAGGAAGTTATAGAAAATAAACAAAAGTTAAGATGGTTCATATAAAAATAGAAATTAGAAGTAGTTATTAAAAGGTGTATCACCTTTATGTATTATAGTATAGATACTAGTAAGGAAAATAAACACTTTGTCTCTTATTATATTTAATTTTGAAAGGTTTTAAGGAAAAATGATTGTAAGAAAAGAAATATTGAGATTTGAAATAAGGAGGGATCCACTCTAGGAGCAAGTCTATTTATACTTACTCTGTTTAATAATTCATGTTCTACATCAAATTTTAACTATCCAACCGTTGAATTTTAAGTTCTTAATGCATAGATCAAGTCTACAAAGTTTTGAAAATCATTTGATATTTCATTTCATCAAATTCAAATTGACGGATAATCATAAAATCATTTTATACATTGATTTGAATTAATGAAATGAAGTATCAAATGATTTTAAAAAATTTGCAGATTTGATCTATGCATTAAGAAATTTAAATTCAACAATTAGATCTTTGAAATTTAACATAGAATGTGAATTATTGAACGGAATAAGTCTAAGTAAACTTACTCTTGGAGTAAATAGATCCTCTCTCTCTCTCTCTCTCTCTCTCTCTCTCTCTATATATATA